AATCTTGAAGAATCTTGCTAGAATCTACTATTTGAATCTACCGAAGTCGTTTCAGTTTCTGTTACTTGCAACCAAAGAATCCTAAGACAGGCCACTTGGGTCCTTTCAATCTTGGTTTTAGAATAAGACCTTGTTTCTTAGAAGGCTGTTTCTTTTATACGTGACTTTCCTTTTTAAAACCTTGATAGAACATTATTGTAGAAGGTATCAAATCAAAAATGCAGCAGTTGCTTTCAAGAGCTTCTGTTCTCTAGCAGAAGTAAGGGGACATCCACGTGAGTAGTAGATAACGGGCAGGAGGGAGGTCTGGGTGTTGCAGAAGTACAGAGGAAGGCTGGGCTTTCAAAGAAGTTTCACAAAGGTGGAAACATCTGAGTTGGACCTTGGAAAGGGGAAAGACTGTAGCAGGCTCTGTGGGGAACGAAAGGCAGGGAGGTCGGGTTTCTCAGTAGGGAGATGAAAAGAGCCACGGCCTGGAGGACATGAAGGCTGGTCGTCCAGGTGAGCGGGCGTGAAGGGACATGGGTGGTGAGGCCGGGCAGGTGAGCCAGCATCAAATTATGGGGAGGGGGTCATCGATAATGCGGGAAAAAGTTTGACTTTGCTCAGGGGACAAATACCAGCTATAGAAAGTTCTTGAGCAGGGAAATGGCTGGTTTAGGGTTATGCTTTGGACTGATAAATCTGATTTTACTTTCAAATGTTTAAAGTCTTTGCGCTTCTTTCAATATGTGTTTTTGGGGTCTAGGAAAGCCCCAGATATTAGCACTAACATGGAGGGTGGAGGTGGCCTCAGGATACCCAAGATGTCCCAAGTGCCTTAGGGAATTCCCATTGCTGTAGAGTTTGCTACTCTTCAGGGCTTCCCGTTTCACTTGGAATGAGGCCGACTGCAGGTAGCCGTCGCCCGCCGGCCGGCGCACACTTCCCACCTTTCACATGGCTGACGGCTTCTCACGTTCCAGTCTCCGCTCCTGTCTCCCCTCATACAGGCCTGCCCACCCGCCCCCCCAACTCTCAGACCCAGCAAACCACAGGTTAGCAAGATGCAAGCACCGGAGGCTGCGAGGCTCGACGCGGTCAGATAAGCTCTCGGAGCCGGGAGCACGTCTGCTTCCAACCGTACGGGCCACCCAGCTGCCGGCACCCCCCAAGGGCCAAACTGGCGGGGAAATACGGAACTCCAGGCCCTTCTGGCGTGGGAACCAAGGCTGGCCTCCCAGGACTTGGGCTAGAATAACTGGGCAAGGAAATGCGAACCGGACGTCTGTTCACGCGGTGCCCGTGGGGAGGGCTCCCGGAACGGCCTTGCGGGGGGCAGGCGGGGGGGGGGGGTAGGGGCCAGCCCAGATGGACCGGCCAGGCCTCGAACGGCTGGACTCTGTCCACCGCACCATCCCCCATCCCCCCCCCAAAGTGGTATGCGGAAGCCCTCACCCAGTACCTCAGAATGGGACTGCATTTGCACACTAGGCCTTTAAACGCCCGGCACCAAAATCTGTTACAAGTCAGAACCCTCTAGAGCAACAGGACCAACAACGTGCATATTTATACCTACATCTCTGCCTACCTGTCTGTACAGAGAGATGGAGTACCTGAGCTGGCTTTTGTGATTATGGAAGCTGACAGGTCCCAAGGGCCGCGGGGGGGGGGGGGGGGAACTTGACGAGCCGGAGACCCCGGGAGAGCCCAGGGTGTAGCTCCAGGCTCAAGCCCCAGGGAAAGAAAGCCAGTGTGTCAGTTTGAGTCTGATGGCAGGCGAGACCCGTGTCCCAGTTCAAAGGCCCAGTCGGGCAGGAGGGATGCTCCCTTACTCGGGGAGGGTCAGCCTTCTCATCCTCTGCAGGCCGTCGGGTCAGCGAGGCCCCGCACGGCGCGGACCCCCCAGTCACCGGGCCCTGCAGAGGAGAGGAGGAGGGAGCAGCTCAGGACGCGCCCCCTCTGTCTCAGTCAAAACACGGCGAGCCGGAGGAAAAGGAGGTTGTGTTTGCGCTCGTGCGTGTCTGCAGTATTTACACTCCCTGCTGACAGCTTTTCTGACACACACACGCTCCTCAGGAGGAAGCTGAGAAAGTGAATGACAGAGTCTCTGTGTCCAACAACTTCTCGGACCAGGTCCAGGGAATGAAGCGCCTGGAGATGAGGCCCTGGCACTCCTGGGACAGGCCGGCGGGGGGGGGGGGGGGGGGGCTCACGCCAAGGTGCGAGCAGGAGCGGGGAGAGAAGTCGTCCCGTGCTGAGTGTTCGTGTCCCCTGCAGGAGCAGAGCTCCTTGACCAGTCAGCGGGCATTTGCTGTGCGCTGGGACCAGCCCGGCACCCAGGTTAGGGCCCCGCGGGCCAGCAAGGTGTCCTTGGCCTCCAGGCACTTACAGTGCAGACCGGGAGATAAAAGATCAGTATCTGGTGAGGACCCAATGAACACAACAGATCATTCCTAGGAGAGGCCTGGGGGACTCACACTTGCAGCCGGTCCTGGCTGATAATCCCACGTGCGGATAATGTGGTCCCTCATCCCTGGTGTGGAGCTTAGGGTTCCCTCCGTCCCCGTCGGCCGTGCCCCTGGGCGACACGATCATACTAGTTCTCTCATCCTCTCCTGTTCTGCACGGTGGTGGTTCAGGGGGGTGTTGGCGCCTCAGCCGACTTTGGAGTTCTCGGGATAGAGGTGAGTCTGGGTCTCTGCCTGGCGCCGAAATGGTGTCAGCACATACATGGTGGGTGCCCCATTGTTGCTGTTGAATTTCACACTGTGGTGGAGACGCCATATGTTTAGGACGGCCCCCAGCGAGCAGGGCTGCTGAGGCAGTTACAGGTGTGATTCTAGCCCAGAGCAGAATTCAAGATGGGGCAAATCGGGTTTTGGGAGGATTGGAAACTTGGATAAGGATTTGTTTGGATCTTCAGTCAGCCCCTTGCCGTGTGTGTGAAACCCTCCTAGTGCCTGGGGTGAGAGCCCAGGGCTGGGGGCCCGTGGGAATCCAGTCCCACAAAGGAACGGCCCAGCCTCACGTGAGGGGCCCTAACGTTGTATCAGGCTAGGCGGGCTCAGGATGCAGTCATCAATGACCCCAGATCTCAGTGGCTTACACAACAAAGGTTTAGTTCTGGCTCCTGCTAGTTGTCCACGGCGGGGTCGGTGGGAAGAAGTGGGAGGTCCTGCCCACCACAGTCTCTCAGGAATCTGGGCGGGCGGAGGGGGCTCCATCTGAGGCATGCTCCTGCATGGCCAACTGCACCCAGGCTCTTCAAGCTTCTGCCTGGAAGTGATCCTCACTTCTGCTCCTAGTCCGCCAGCCACAGCAAACCGCAGCTAACGTCCCAGCAGGCAGGGGTCACACGCGACAGAGTGTCCAGAGGAGGAGAAACAATATCCGTGGGCCCGTGGGAGGGCCGCAGCGGGGAGCCTGGTGGCTGGAGAGTGCCAGGGGGCAGGAGGGCTGCTCTTCTCCACTCAGACGAAGCCAGATGCAGGCAGAGGCAGAGCAGGCCTTGGGGGCTCTTGGTCCCGGGCAAGCTTTACCTTCCCGAAGCTCTCTCAGCAGACTGCGGAATCCAGTTTAGAACCTTCGGCAGCACCCGACTGTTCTAACCTCGTTACGGCGGTCAGCAGGAAAACAGCACATCGGGGCCGGGGTTTAAAGAACCTTCAGGAACCAAAGGGGTTGTTGTTGTTGTTGTTGGACTTTCAGGAACTAAGGAGGAAAAAAATGAAATGAGGACAGGAACGCTATTTAAAAGAAAACAGAAGCAAAGACGCCTTTGCCTTTGACAAACACAGGGATGGGCTGAAGGGAGGAACCCTCTGGAGAGCGTGACTTGGGATGCCACGAGCTGCTGGGGTTCCGAAGCCAACAGGAGGACGGCTCGGTCCTCCCAGCCCTCCATGGCAAAGGCAAAGCTGCTGAGCCAGAGACGAGCGACGAGAAGACATTTGCTGAGGTGACTTGGTGGCAGGGGCTTCTGTGCCTACTTCTGTCAGGCTGGAACAGCCTGGGCCCCAACCCTCCGTCCCCCTTTAATGCCCTTGTTCATCAGGCCTCCTTAACTGTCCCTTCTCTGGGAAGCGTCCCCTGACCTCCCCAAACTGGGCTGCCTGGCCCTCCCTGTGCTTGCTGTATTCCTTGTACCCCAAGATCTGGGACAACCTCCGGAACAGAGGGCGCGCTGTGAATCTGACAGTGAATGCATGATGGGGCTTGTGAGGGCCCGGCATCCTTGCTTCAGAGGTCAACAAGTCCGATGGAGTCCCCTGGCTCTGACTGCAAGGGGGCTGCCAGGTCAATGCCGAACGCTTCCTGGTTGCTTCAGGCTGCCCTGGGCACTGCTGCCGGGCCGTTCCCAGATCCTGACAACACAAGCCCCCGGGACTGGCCCAGACTCAGGGACCTCGAGACCAGCCCAAGGCTCCCCGAAGCCAGAACCTGAGCTGATGAACCGCCTGGTCCAATTCCATCCCGGAGACACCCGGGTGCCTTGCCCCATCCTTGGGGGCTACAGTTTCAACCGACCCCACACTACTTAGAGTGGCACATTCTGGGGCCTCATCCCTGATTCACCGGCCCCAGGGATACCTCACTATTAGGCCTTTACCACCTTTTCCAGAAACATCCCGAAATGTTCCCATACCTTCTGTAGAGTGGGCCATTCCCAGGCACTGGGAAACAGGAGTACCTTGGTCACACCCACAATCTAGCTCTTAGTGCCTCGGTTTACCCATATGTGAAACCTGGCTAGCTCCCCACCCCCCACCTCCCTGGAACTTTCTGGAATGTGCTCCATAGGCCAAACTAGGGAGGGAACCCCTGGGACCGGGGGGTGTTGGCAAGTGAACGGTCACAGGCCTGGGAACAAACACAGGCAACGATGCTGTCCAAGCACTTTTAGTTCAAAGGGAAGCAAGTTCAAAAGCTGCCAGTCATTGAGGTGGAGTCCTTGGGCCAGACAGTCCAGGCATGCCCCGCCCCGGCCCTGGGAGGGCTGCTTGGGGGAAAGCGACCCATCAGAAATGAGGGGAGGCTTGGAGAAATGGCCTCCAGATGTGGGCCGTCCGGGGCAGCAAGCCAAGCTGCTCTAGCTGCTGCCGCGTGGGCCTGTAGGCACTGAGGTTGCTGCAGGGAGCTGGGGCGCTGGCGAGGGGCCTCGGGGGGAAGTGGGCCTGTGGGCTCGGGGCCCCCCATGGGCCATGGTGGGCCCGAAGCCTGGGGGGCGGAGGGGGGTTGGGGGCCAGGGGACTGCTGGGCCCCGATGACGCCGACCGACTCTGGTTCTGGGGGTTGCTGCCTGTCGAGGGGCTGCTGAAGGGGTCGGAGGACGTGTGGTCGCTGGCCGAGCAGCTGCTACCACTGAGGCGGCCAGGCGGGGGGCTGCGGCCTGCTCTGGGCTGCAGGGGCGCCACAGGCCTGGGGGACTTGGGGCCCATCACCGGCTTGGAGGAGGCGTAGAGGTGGCGGAACTCCTCGTCAAACAGCTCCACCGCGGTGCCCGTGAACTTGGAGAGGATGTTCCGGTGGACGTGTCCGCAGAGCCAGGTGAAGCTGCAGGGGAGGAGGAGAGTGACGGGTGGGACCAGGGAGGCTCCTTTTGGGGAGGCGGTGTGGGCTCATGCAGGGCTGGGGGGAAGGACTTAACGTTAGCCCTCCGCTCCTCTGGCCTGCTCGTTTCATCCCGGCAGAACCCCCGGAGGGCCACCTTGGTACCCCCTTCACAGATGGCAAGACCGTGGCGCAGAAACCAGCAAATGTTTGCAGGTGAACAGTGAAGACACGAGATTGGATCTCTGGCCTCAGGGTTCCCTCCTGGTGCTCAGATCCTCGCCCCTCCCTGCTGAAGCCCCAAAGGGCTAAGCGACAGCTGAGTCCCAGTGTCCCCAGCTCTGTGCTGAGGAGTCCCCTAGCTGCTGAAGCCCCCTGTGAAGCGTGAGAACCCCTGCCTCTTCTAACCAAAGGGGGGTCTGGGGAAGGCAGCTGCAAAACGCGGGCTGCTCCTTAGTGGGAGGGGAGGGAGAATCCCATGCTCCTCCGGAGGTGGAAGAGGGAACACAAGGCGGGCCGCAGGAACAGGAATGACAAGCCCCCCACCCCCCATCCGCCAGCCAGGGCCCAGCCGGCAGAGTCCCTGCTCTGTGAGGCAGGGTGGGGCCCAAGCAAGGCTGGGCCAATCCTGGGAAGAACAACGAGGCTTTGTTTACACCTCACCTCCCACCCAGGAGCCACCCACACACCCCAGAGAGGTGGGCAGCTGATGCTGAGCCTAGGGCCAGCCAGGTAACAGGGAAGGTGGCAAACGTGGGGACAGCGGGACTCTTGGCTACACTAAGATGTCAGTCGCCCTGTGTTGTTTGGAATCAGACTAGATTAGGCCAAGCAACTGCGTGCTCTACGCAACAGAACAGGTCCAAGAGTGCCCTGGAGACTTTTCAGGCTCCCATGCCCTCTGTGCCCTCCACCCCGGGGGGCCTCTGCACACCCCCTCAGGCCCCTTGGTGTCCCTGTAGCCCCTGCGTGCCCGTGCACCATGCTGGGGTTCTCCTCCTTCACACCCTGCGTGGCCTTCATTCCATGCCCTAGCTTTTACACTTTATCACCACCTGTGGTAGGAAATACACGTCATTTCTATTGCTTTCTGGCCCTTACTACATGGAACTGACTTCGTCACAGTCTCTCATGACTGGTCTCTTCCTGGCCCCTTTTAATTTTTGTAGATATTTACTTCGTTATTTTAAATAATGTAATAAGCACCAACAAACCCACCACCTAAAATAAAAAGCTAGCATCTAACCATATGGTCCCTCCCAGCAACCTATTTTCCAGGTCCCCCGCAAAAGAGGGAATCATCACCCCGAATCCTGTGTCATAGTTCCCATACTTTCCTTTCTCTGTTAAAAAAATGTCTTATGTATTCTGGAAAGAAAATATTTTGGTTGTTTTTAACATATATGTAATATTTGGGGTTTTTTTTTTCCCACTTAATATTATATTGCTAAGATTTATCCAAGTTATCTCTGGTTGCTGTCCCTCATTCATTTTTGACTGCTGTATAATATTCCACCAGAGGCTAGATCATGGTTTATTCATCCATTCTTCCATTGACAAGCATTCCCATTGCTTCGACAGTATTTCTGCTGTGACCAGTGCTATAATGAGCATTCTTACACATGTCTTTTACTGTCCCGTGGACTCATTCTCTTGGAAATACCCCTCGGTGTGGAATTGCTGGATTATAAACCAGGTGAATAGTCAGCTTTAGGAGAAAATTCCAAACTCTTTTGAAAGTCACTATATTGACTTGCAATCCCATCAGCAATGTAGAAAAGATCCTGTATGGGGCGCCTGGGTGGCTCAGTCATTAAGCGTCTGCCTTCGGCTCAGGTCATGCTCCCAGGGTCCTGGGATCGAGCCCCGCATCGGGCTCCCCGCTCGGCGGGAAGCCTGCTTCTCCCTCTCCCACTCCCCCTGCTTGTGTTCCCTCTCTCACTGTGTCTTTCTCTGTCAAATAAATAAATAAAATCTTAAAAGATCCTGTACATCCAGTATTTGGTATTGTCAGTCTTATTTTTTTTGCTACTTGAAAAGGTATAAAATGGCAACTGGTTCTAGCCTTGATTTGCATTTTTCTGGTCACTTATAGTGCAGAACACCTCTTCATGTTTTCACATGCGTTTGCTCCTGGCTGAAATGCCCACTCCCGCCTCCTACCTGCTCTTCCTTGCGCTGCTTTGCTCTTATGATTCACAGGAGTTCTTTGTGGTTCTTGACACTAATCTTGTCAGGGCTTCATGAAAACCTGCTCCCACTCCGTAATCTGACTTTTCACTTTCTTTCAGCTATCTTTCAATGAACCAAAGTTCTTCACCGTAATATAGTTGGGTTTAGCAATCTTTTGTAGTCAAGGCTTTTTTGTGTTGTGTTTAACACAAAAGAGGGGTGTCTGGGGGCACCTGGGGGGCTCAGTCAGTTGGGCGTCTGCCTTCAGCTCAGGTCATGATCCTGGGGTCCTGGGATCGAGCCCCGGGGAGGCTGCTTCTCCCTCTGCCCCTCCCCCTGCTTGGCTCCCTGTCTCTAATAAATAAAATCTTAAAAAAAAAAAAGAGGGGTGTCTGTGTTAAGACACCTAATCTTTATGCTAAGGTCTAAAAGATATTCATCTATTCTTTTCTACTAAGAGTTTTAAAGTTTGTTTTTGACATTTCAGGCCTTTTAATCTATCAGAAGGTGATTTTTTTTTTTTGTATATGTGTGAAGTGGAATCCAACTTTCCGTGTAGAGAATTATTATTTTTTTTTTCCAGTTTCTCCTTTCCCCACCGCTCTGACACGCCCCATCATGGGTGGGTCTGTCTCTGGGCTTTCTGCTCTGTTCCATCCATCTGTCAGTCTGTCTGCTCCTCGTCCAATACCACGTTGTCATGATGACTCCAGCTTCACGAGGTGTCCTGATCTCTGGCAAGTCCTCCCTGCCTATTCTTCTTCAGACTTATCATGGCTAATCTTGGAGAAATACATTTAATACACGACCTACTCACAAATACAAACACATACATCACCACACAACAGTTTCCAGAACATTCCTTACCTCAGTGTGCCCTCAGTATGTTTATTCTATCCTATTTCAATACAAAAAAAAAAAAAAATTCCAGGCCTCATCCACTAAATTGATTTCATATCCTGCTAATGGATAATGATGGACAGGGTTTGAAACACTTTGTTCCTCTAGCTGCACTGGATGGCCAGGACCTTACGTGGACATTCATTCATTCATTCAGCAAATAAAATGGTCATATATAATGTTCAGGTACTGGATGAACTGTACTTCATGCCAGAAACGCAACAGAGAAGAAAACAGACCCAATCCAGGGCCTGACGTCATGTTTACAATCTTGGCTAAACAAGTCCGCAGAGAGGCTCTCTAGGAGATGATCTGGAAACTCTAAGACAAGGAGTTGGCCGGGTAAGACAGCAGGAATGACCTCTCCAGCAGGGGGAGTACACAGCAAGTGCAAAGGCCCTGAGGCCTGAAAGAGCATGACAGACCTGGAGGAACACAGTGTGGCCACAGCACACTGGGGAGAAGGAGAATCCTGCCCGGACAGAGGCCATGCTAAGCATGATTTTTTTTTTTTTTTCTTTACTAAGAGCAGTGACAAGCATGGAAGGATTTTAAGGATGCAAGTGATCTGATCTGGTTTGTGTTTAAAAAATCTTTCTGTTCCAGGCAGAGAAAGCTCAGAGGTGGAAGTGTGGGTCAGGTCAGGAAGGGAATCAGGGCCAGTTAGGTTCTCTTGCTGTGCCCAGCAAGGCCCAACCCCAAAGGCACCAACCTCCTGGACCTGCCAGCAGAAGCCGGAGCTCCCTCCTGGTTGACCCCAGGGCAACTTCTTAGCTCGTGCTGATCTTAGAGCACACACCACATCGCTCTGTGGCCGTTTACCCATGTTTTTTGATAACAGAGACAAGCTTTGTGTCCCCCGCACCTGGCGCGGTGCCTATTCTGGGGTAAGACTTACTACAAGAGCTTAAAGGTTGAAATGCACACACCCCCCTCCTCACCCCCAACCCTCAGCTGAAGATGTGGACAGGGCTCTTCAGTTTGGGAGAACTGTCTACAACCAGGGCCAAAATATCTGAAGCCCAGGGACAGCTGCATTGAAAGATGGGATGGAGACTTGTGTTTTGTATTAACTAGAGACAACCCTGAGAGACCCGGGGAGAAGCATCGTCCTCAAGGCCGGCAAGCAGATCACCTTTGACTGCTGAGTGCAAACCAGGTTAGAGTTGTCCTGCCCTCTCTCTGGGAGCTGGATTCCTCAGTTCTTGGGAATGGCCCTGCATGTCTTCAAGCCCGCCGCCCCCCTCCTCCCGGCACCTCCCATATCAGGACGACAAGCCCGGAAGACACTGGAGAGCTGGGGATGCTCGTCAAGGAGGCTGGTGGCCCTGGGTCCATCACTTACCCGCTCCGTGCCTCAGTTCCCCCATCTGTCCATTGGAAGAATAATGCTTCCCTCAAAGGGTTGTCATGACTAAATCCTTCCTAAAGGTCTGATCACACCTGGCCTAGGGCCTGACACAAAGCTCAACAAGGTTAGTTCTGCTTCCTTCTGCCCCTACCAAGGGCAAGCTACCCCCACCCCCACCTCAGCATGATGAGCTCCACAAGGGCAAATACAGACGAAAATGAAGAGGCGTAATTCTCCCGATTGAAAATAAGAGGAGACACTCCCTCCTCTGCATTTTCTTTTTCAGAATTTCTTTCTCTGTCTCCAAAGACAGAGGAGGGATCCGAATGAACAGGCCTTGCTACATTTCCCCAGTAACTACCTTTAGCTCATACCCTTTTGCCCCACCACGGTTTTCCACAACTTTCTATGACTTTCTACTCTTCGTCACACCTCATATAAAAATGCTCAGGCTTAACCATTGCTTAGGATCATTTCTTTATGAGGCACGGAGAGAGGGTAGCTGTGGGTGGAAATGCACATGGGGCTCAGTGACCCCAGGACACTGGAGGTGTCCCCTCAGGGCTGCCTGGTCTCAGAGCCCCTCCTGGCAGAGGAGTTATGAAACGGCTTCCTCCCCCTGCAGGTGGACCACACCTCATTCACGTGACATGAAACTTATAAATAAATCCATACGCTTTTTTCTTGTTAATCTACCTTTTGTCCAACTGACAGGCCCCAGCCAGAGAACCTAGAACGGTAATAGGAAAAAGAGGCTTTTCCTCCCCCATAGGGTGGGCATGGGGTTTTGTCGGAGGTGATACAGATATTTTGGAACTAGAAAGTGGTCATGGTTGCACACACAGTGAATGTACTAAATGCCACTGAATTATACATTTAAAATGGCTAATTTTAGATTATGTGAATTTCCCTGTAATAATCAAAAAAAGAACGAGAGAGAATTCCTCAGCTGTGGTGGGCCCCTGATTCCAGGCTTGGGCCTTGGGTCTGGGGCAGCTCCGCAGACAGAGATCTGACTCTTCCCATCCAGGTGGTGAGCTAGGTTTAGTGGCAGCTTAGTTAAGGTCAGAAGTCAAGGTCAGAGGCCTCAAGTCCTGCCATGGGGTTTGAGGCTGACCTCCTATCCAGAGCCTTATGGCTTGATGCGCAGAGGCCTTTGTCACTCTCCAAGGAAAGAACAAAAGCTGAGAAGGTGGCTTTGGGCCCTTGGGGAGGGTAACGCAGTCCCACCTCAGCCTCTCACAAAACAAGGGAGTGCTGGATGCAGGGCCCGAGGATCAGAAGCACGTGCGCTCCCTTTTGCACAGGTACCCCAGTGAAGCCAAACAACGAGGAGAGAAGCTGTGGGTGGAAATGCACATGGGGCTCAGTGACCCCAGGACACTGGCGGTGTCCCCTCAGGGCTGCCTGGTCTCAGAGCCCTTCCTGGCAGAGGAGTTATGAAACGGCTTCTTCCCCCTGCAGGTGGACCACACCTCATTCAGCTCCGATGCAGGCTGTGAGGTAGATACTACAGGCCCACTGTGCAGCCAGGGAAAACAAGGCCCAGGAAAAGGTGGAGAGAGAGACCCAGAGGGGAGCCAAGGGAAACTTTAGCCAGCTCAGCCACCCCTTCCCAGGCTCCTTTCCCTCCCCCATCACTCTCTCTCTCTGTCTCTGCTCTGTACTGGTTCTTTTTTTTTTTTTTAAGCAACCTCTACACCCAGCATGGGGCTTGAACTCACAACCCCAAGATCAAGAGTCACGTGCTCTACCGACTAAGCCTGCCACGACAGGCTGTTGTTTATCTCCTTGGTTTGAATGGAAGCTCCAGAGCCGCACCCCAGCCTTGAAGCATGCCTGGTACATACCCAGTGGGTTTCTACATAGCTGTCGAATAAATGAAGGAACAGAGAGGCGCAGTGACTTGCCCAAGGTCACCCAGCCGGGAAGCTACAGAGCCGGGAATTGAACCTCTGTTGTCTGACTTCTAGTTTAGGCTGCTGCCACGGCCAGTCCCTAACACCAGCCTTAGGTCCCATGGAATTTGGACACACTTCTGAAAATAAAATAGGACACACACACACACACACACACACACACACACAGCCCAAAACAAATTGCATAGCTTTACCATCACGCCTGAGAGAGCGGAGGAGGGAAAAGGAAGATTCTGTGTCCTATTGCAATCTGCAAGGAAACTTGGAAGTGCCTCTCTACCCTGAAGCCCCCTGCCCCCGCCACGAAGGGTCCAGATGTCCCCCTTCTGCCCAGGCTGGTCCTGCCTCCAGCCTCAGGTATGTGAAGCAGCCCCAGCGTGGCTGGGGGTGGCACCCTGGGAGCCGCTGGGAGGGGTAAGTGCCTGAGCGGCTGGGGGTGCTCTGCACCAGGCTCAGCCTTGGCCTCCTCGAAACCTTCGGCAGGTGAAACCCAGTGCTCACCTGTATGATCCCGACAGGACGTATCTCCAGTCCGAAATGATGAACTTCTCCTGGATTTGGCCAGCGAACTTCCGGCCTGATTTGGCACAGTACACCTCTCCTTCCACACTCCGGATGGAAATGTTCTGTTGGAAGGAGAGTCAAGGCATCATTCACTAATTACATGCGTATAGATGGATACATGTTTGCCTAGGAAAACATCTGGAAGGATGCTCAGCAAGAAATAGGCAGGGGTTATCTCTAATTCACAGGCTCATTGGCTATTTTTATTTTTCCTTGGCTGAATTTTCTAAATTCTTTTCATTGTCCTGACATTATTTGAGTCATGGCGGGGGAGGGGGGAGGAAAAAGGAGATGGTAGAATTTAAATAAAGTGGCAAGCAGAAGAAAGATGAAGGCCTAATGTCCATGCAGCCCTCCGTCTAGGCTCCCAGGGGCCACAGAGGCCTGGCAAGCCCAGCCTTGCCCTATAAGAGGCTTTAGTGACATGAGTCCCTGACCCCAAGCTGGTCAGAGGGAAGTGCAGCCGGAGGGGGTACCTTTGCGGAGACCTCAGTGGACCCTAGATTTTCCTAAGGAAAGGTGTGTCCACAACCCAAATCATGGCCCTGCTTGCCCCTTCCCCCGCCCCCAGGAACACCTGCTGCGCCAGCCGTCAGCCAGAACCCTTGGGAGGCTGGAGAAATGAAAAGGTGGGTAAAGCATGGGGATATCCCCTCTGAGAAAGGTAGGGTACTGCTGGGATCCCCTGAATGTCTCTGGTGGCTGGGCAGGCTCTGGGAAGGGGATGCCCAATGCTTCCAACAGCGATTCCCAGCCCCCCCCATAAGCTCTGTGACACGTTAAGAGGAGGGCCGCACCCCACCGTCCCTTGGAGGACAGAGGACTGGCAGGCGTGGCCGGCGTGGGCCACAGAGGCAAGGCCTGCACTGACTCTCTGCACCTCTGTCGATGGCCTCCTGTTGAGGAGGTGTGATCCCGGTCAGGCAGACCCAGTAAGGCCCGGGACCGAGGCCTGCCGCGCCGGGAGGTGCCTGAACTCAGCTGCGCCCCAGGCAGTGAGGAGGATGGCGGGGTCTCCCAGAGGCTGACCTGACCGAGCTAGAGCGGGGTCACCACGGGACCCAGCCATCCGCTGTTCCACAGAGCCTGCTCATAAACACTAGGTGGTTTTACATCGGACCTTGAATTAGCTGCCCTAAATCTGACATGACTAAGGGAGTCCTTATCTCTGGGCTTCTGTTCTCCTTGCCAGAAGAAGGAAGTCAGTGGGGAGTTGGGTTCAGTCCAAGAGGATCAGCTTCCCGTCGGGCTGACTCGTGGATGCTGCCCTGGCCTGTGAAGTGGAGGCCACGGGGTTTCTTCAGCCAAGAGAACAAAAGCAGAGATTGTTGCTCACGAGACACCCACGGGCCCCCTTCGGTTCCCAGCCCCCATGTGTCTTCGTGAGGCTGTAAGCAGGAGTGACGGCAATCTCTTCCAGGTCAGGTCCTGCAGCATCCCTCTGCTCTCTCCCTGCCACTGCCATCTTGGAGGCCATGTATTTCTTATGGTGTAGCTACAGGATGAGGGAGGGCTGTCTGTCCTACGCTGGACTTTGGGCAGGAAATAAACCTTTACTACGTTAAGCCATTGAGATGGGGGGGGCGGTTCTGTTAGCATGGTGTAAGTTATCCTATCCTAATACAAAATCCCTTTTGGATGCTCACTGGGGGCCCCTACCTTGAGGTGGCTGTCAGAGATCTGGACTTTGTCACACATCTCTTGGAAGAGCTTCACACCTCCCTGGTCCAGGAGCACACAGACAAACACCCCACGCTTGTTGGCCGCCTCTAGAATGTCACAGAAGATCTCCACATCCGTGAACATATCCATCACGATGGCCAGGACCTGGGCCAGGGCAGAGGGGTGGAAACAAAAAGAGTCAGGGGCCAGGTGCTAACTGGCTTCAGCAGAGCTTCCCAAGTCCCGGTGGCCCTAAGAGAGCAGTTCCCCTTGCTGCTGCCCTGGAGGAGAAAGCATGAGATGGGGGCCTCTGCCAAGGCAGCACTCGAGGGAACAGAGCTGGGGTGGAGGCCTCCGCCCTGACTCCATCTGTCCAGCCCAACCACAGGCCGTCCGGCCTCCCGGCCCGCTGCTGGAGTGCGGCATGCACGGGAGGAAGGAGACGAAGGCAGAGAAGGAGCACAAGGAGGGGAAGAGGCGAACAGGAGGTGACCAGGCAGGCTCAGGGCTGAGGGATGGAGTCAACGTCACAGCCACTCAGCCATGCGGAGCTCGACGGCACTCTATGGCCCCTGGTTTTCAAATGTTTTTAAGCCACGGAATACTGCCCCGAACAAAATCCCCGTGGAGACCCTACAGATCGACTAGACAAGGCTGAGTTGCCCCAGTGGGACGCAGAAGGGAGTCCTCCTCTATCATAACAGAATCCTGGGGGGGGGGGGGGGGGGGGGGGGGCCCTAGAAATGCAGGAAAGGGGGGAGACGTGTGTACGCCCGCCTACCAAGGACCCACCCCTCCTCTTGCCAGCCAATCTCACTTTAAGCAATCTCTTCCCCACAAGCAATGTGGCTTGGGCGGGGCCACTGCCAGGCGCCGGATTGGGCGCGGGGAGGGCACATCACCAAGGCCAGACCAATGAAAGCACGGCATCCCCTGCTGGCCACAGAGATTGGCTCAGGGCCGATCACATGACCTAAGCTATTCTAATGAGGGCTGGCCCAGGACTTCTGCTGGGACTGGGGGAAAGGAGAGGGGGTTGCTCAGCTCCTAGGGGAGGAGCTACAGCTGCTAGCAGCCATCTTGGCGCCACGTGGGGACGGCCTGCCTGAAAATGAAGTCCGCCCCCGAGGAAGCAGGACCAAGCACGTTGCCAGCAGCATCCTTCGAACATCTGGTTTCAGTCACGCTTGGAAGCCAGTTCTACCCTTGACTTTCCCACTGTAGATGTCAATGCATGCTCTTCTTCTTAGACTTGTTTGGGGTTGTTTTCCACGGTATTGTGATTTATAAAAAAAAAAAAAAATGTATATTTGGTCTTTGTCCTTGTTTCTGGCACCAAGCTCTAAAACACTTGGAATTTCCTAAGTGGCGAGAGCGGAGAGAGATAAAGGTCCTTTGTTATGTTAATGAGGTGACTTTTGGATGGGGGCTGGTTGCCTGGGGAACCAACTAAGTGATTAGAGGGTTGGAATAGTCTGTCCCTCCTACCCCCCTACCCCAAGGAAAGAGAGAGGGGTTGGAGGTTGAATCAACTGCCAATGTCAATGATGTAATCGTTCGTGGTGTAAAGAAGCCTACCTAAAAACCCAAGAGGATGCGTTCAGAGAGCTTCTGGGTTGGTGATTTGGGGAGAGCAGAGTGCTCAGAGAAGGTATGGAACTTCCATGCCCTTCCCCATACCTTGCTCTTTGCATCTCTTCCATCTGGCTGTTCCTGAGTTCTACCCCTTATAATAAACTAGTAATCTCTGGAAAGGGAAATGTTTCTTTGTTGTGAGTCACTCTAGCAGATTGATCAAACCCAAGGAGGGGGTCATTGGAGTCTTCAGTCTGAGCTCGGGACTGGTGTGGGTTGGGTTGGGATACCCAGCTGGTGGCTGAGAATTGCTCGGTGGTGGGGACCCCCACAGAGTGGGATTAGAGCAGAATTAGTTGGCTGTCAGCCAATCAAAGTCTGTCCTAATACCCAAATCACGGCATGTCGACGTGTGGATATGGCAGCTATTAGCAATGATAATTATAATGGTCACATGAAAACTGTGAGACGTGGCGAAATGTTGAAGCAAAACTGCTGTATGATCCATGCTCGACACAGATGTATTAGCAATGAATGAATTCGGTGAAAAGGGGTAACAGAGCATGAAATGATGGTCCGTCCGGTATGATTGCCAGTGAGGGAAAGTGGTGTGTAGACACACAAGCAAGCACAAAGCCAAAACTAGCAGTCATGTTTGGACTGGGCACTACGGCAGTTTTCAACATTACCTGTAATAACGTTCCACCATTTTTCTAATGATTACTGTATATATAGCATATATATATAGTAATTATATATATGGTATATAGAGATATATACGTATGTACAGATACGTAGATATATTGACCATCGACATCTGGGAAGTAGCCAGGACAAGAAGAGGGTCATTGAAACAGACCACGTGGTACCCACGTGGAGTTGACTTCCTGCTCAGATGATGTGAGTGTCCAGACAGGGGAAGGGACTGCCCAGGTTAGAAGTCAGAAAAGATGTTGAAATAGGGAGGCCACGCTCCTTTAGAACCGTGGCCCTGTGAGCCCATGATTGTCTCGACATTTAAACTTAGGGTGCCAACAGCAACAGAGGCCCTGTCTGTGGGAAGAGAAATGCTTCCTCCTTGAGGGCGGTACAGGTGGAAGGGACACTTCCCTCTCCCCAGGAGGTCAGTAAATCCTCCCTGGGTGGGGGGGGTCCAGCGAGTCCTTGCTTCCCAGACATAGGGCTGGTGACAGATTGAACAGAGAAGGGGCCATGTTTGCAAATAACCCCAGGTCGTGATTGAAGGGATGCTTGGAAAAACAGGCTCACGTGTCTAGGTTTATCCTGTTGGCCTCCTGTTGGGACTGGCTCCCAGGCGGATTGACTCAAGGCCCATAACCTCTTCAGTCCCCGGCGTGGTCGTGCTACCTTACAGGGTGTCATGGGATGGGATGAATGACGACCTCCCGAAAGGTATGTCCACACCCGAACCACCAGAACCCGTGGACGTGATCTCCCTTGGAAAAAGTCTCCACAGGTGCAATTAAGACTCTCAAGATGAGATCATCCTGGATTATCCGGTGGGCCCTAAATCCAATGGCAAGTGTCCTTGTAAAAGACACCCAGAGGAGAGACAGGGAGAAGAGGGGGAGCCACATGAAGACAGAAGCAGAGCCTGGAGTGAGGCGACCACAAATCAAGGAACGCCCACAGCCACCAGAAGCTGGAAGCAGAAGACAGGACCCTCCTCCCCAAAGACTTCAGAGCAAGGAGGGCCCAACTGATATCTTCATGTTCGGTCTGGCTTTCAGAACTAGGAGGGAATAAATATCTCTTGTTTTAAACCACCAGCGGGGTGGTAACTTGTCGCAGCAGTCCTGGGACACTAATACAGAGGGGTCACACACAGTCCAGGCCACAGTGCTCTATGGGGTGTTAGGGAACCGTGGCTCCAGCCCCCGTGCTACTGGCGATGAGCTGAGAGCCTTTGGACAAGTCACTTACCCTCTCTGGGCCCCAGTTTCTTTACCGATAAACTACTGCTCAAAAATAGAACATTGGCTATCATTCAAACTGCATCTAACCCTGAGCCCAGATAATATAAATGTAACCAGGTGCAAAAAGCAAAGGTTTTTATTCTTGTTTGTCGTTAAAATATGTCTATGATTTTATATGCATTTTGAGCAAGTATGAATCATGTTAGAATAACACCATGTAAACATGCTTTAGTCCAGGGCATGGAAAAGGATTAAAATTAGTGCTGACACCTCCAGGGGCATAAAAGAGAAATAAAGTAGGCCAATCCGCTGGGCCAGCACGTCGGGGTGGGGTTGGCTGAGAAGAAGGAAGTGCTTCCTCGACCCCTCACTGAAGGAGGAAGCCCAGCCTGGCAGGCCGGCTCTGGGAATCTGAGCTGCAGAGAGACCCAGGAGCCCCGCCAGGGGGATGCTGGTCTGCTGGGGCTCTACCCATAGGCAAGGGTCATCCTGTGGGGACCTCGAATCCTGGCTGAGAGTCCCTCATCCCCTGCCAGACAGATGGGAGCTCCTCTGGACCAGGAAACCCCGCCGCATCGAGAATGGCAGGGTGGAGGAGGTCCTGGACAACAAGGGACCACCGACAGCCCAGAGCCTGCTGACACTGTTCCAACTAGCCAGTCCTAAGCTGTTCGCTCTGCCTGCCCTCCCTTTCCTGCAAAAGCACAGTAAGGGCCTGTGCCCATGCATTCTTCTGGCCCCTTCTGCCTCCCACCGCTCCGTGGTGCTTCCTGTGTGGCTGGGCACGGCCTGCTCCGCCTCTTGCTTCTAGGGAGCTCTGAGCAAAACCTCCTTGTTTTGTGCCAGTCATTTCCATGCCACGTCTTCCCACCGGCGGGACACCCAGCCCTCTCACACCTCCTGCCCTTTGCCTTGACTCCCTTCCCCTTTCCCTTCCCTCTCTGCCTGACCACCTCTTACTCAGCCTCTGAGACTCAGCTCAGAGGCCCCCTCCTCCGTGAAGCCTGCCTTAGTCACCCCGTCCTCCCCTCGCGGGCACAGAGGGTGGCTCACACCCAGGGCTGCCGCCCACCCCCTGTCCCCTTCTCCGCCCCTAATGGGCAAGCAGAGGCAGGGAGCTCCCCAGAGGGCAGGATCCTCTGGTTCTGCTCTGCCATCCCGGGGGCAGGGCCGGGCTATGAGTTAGGCTTTGGGGAAGAAAGGAATGTGAGCGTGGAGGGAAAGAGGGAGAATTCCTGCTAGTTTAGGGAGTGGAAACTTGTCTGGAAAACACGGAGCTCTGTTTTCCTCTCAGGAGGCTGAAGCCATGGGGGAATATGCAAACCTACCGACCCTCTGGCTCTGAGTGGGGAGGCAGGGTCACAGCCTGCCTTCCGTGGACAGCCTGTGACAAGGTTCCAGGCCCCCTGGCATCTCTGTGGGGGCAGGTCACCCCTGAGCCCGGTGTGTGTGTGTGTGTGTGTGTGTGTGTGTGTGTGTGTGTGTG